ACCTCCAGGTCTGTTTTTGAGGAGGTAACGTTACAACATGGCTTAAAGCTCACAAGAGTCAATTTTGTGTGAAATATGACCTTTAACAATAATGCAGTGTACTGTCTTTATCAAATATATCAGATGTTTTATTTTCATTTGCCCACGTTTGAGTAATCCTGCGTGGTAAGTCTCCTTGGTACGGGCCATTACAGTTTTCGATTTGATTGTAGTTTGTCTCGTCTAGAACAAGCACAAATCTCTATAGGAATTTCAGTAGATACAACAGTATGGATTTTTGTGCCGTTGCTGTCAACACAAATTTCTTGCCCTGCTCCAAACTACGTTCAGAGAGGACTGGTTGGAGACCTTTCGACTTAAACTCTCAAGAATATCACTGACGATTCAAAATGGCCAAACTTCTAAGTCAGTTCGAATACACGCATCAAGAATCTCGGACTTCCGATCATTGCTCAATTCATACTGGGAAGGATTTTCTGAAAAAGTGAGCATCAAACCTCCATGTTTGTTTTCCCAGTGGGATGCGTCTATTGACAAAGCCGATCTTTTCTAGTCTTTTGAACCATATCACTTTTGTTTCTGGTTCTGATATTGTCATATTTTAGTTTTGGGATTCGGACATTGTTAATTGTGTGTTTGTTGGATCCTAACTGTGGAAAACGGCTCGAGAAATTAGTTTGCGAACTCCATAGATGCAATAGGGAAACAGATGTGTGTGACTGCAAACCTCTGTTTAAACTGTTTCCCTTCCCAACAAAATTGAAAAATAGTGAAAGGTGAAGGCGATGGGCAGTATAGATCCATGGGAAGGACGAAAAAGGAAACCTTTGACTACCTAAATCATCACGAGTTTACAGTGAACATTTTGTATGTGGAGCGCCATCAAAGCGGGATCCTGTTTGTTAAGCGAGATGTACAAAGACAAACAGACTGAGCTGCACTTTCTTGTTTTTGTAGTTTTACAGCAACATCAAGTCTTGGTCTCTTTACAGTGGAAGTTGTTTCTTGGCGAACAGTTGGTGCCTTTCGCTTTGGTGTTCACTGTTTAAATTCATAACCAAGGCTGAGTGAGGGATTGGGATTTTGCCTTGATGGCTCCACAATACAAAATGTTCACTGTAAACTCGTGATGATTTAGGCAGTCAAAGGTTTCCTTTTTGGTCCTTCCCGTGGATCAGTACATTGGAGGTTTGATGCTCACTTTTTCGGAAAATCCTTCCCAGTATGCATTGCGTAATGACCAGAAGTCCGAGATTCTTGATGCGTGTATTTGTTTCCTGGTTTTGTTGCGATTACCTTTTTTAAAACGGCTTGAGTACAGTTCCTTGTAATACAAACATTGAGCATTTTATTTGCCCGTAGAGATGCATATATTTTGGAAAATATTTGCCAACAAAAGCCACATCTATTAAGAAACCAAACATCTCGGGTCATTTATCTCTCTAACCTTTCTCTTTCATTGGACAGTTGGACAGAACAGACCTTTCTTGTATTCTATTTTATTCATAGTCAAAAGTCATACTTCCTGGAATTCAGATTACATAACGTTCTATAGGTTTGTGTTGTTAGGGTTGTGGCCAGGCTAAATATGTTTTGTTGAATGGTTGGATATACTTTATGTTGAGAGATAATGGATCTTTTGTTAGTCTTGGTTTCGTCCTTAGGTTTGATTTGTTAGGCATTGCTGTTTTTGTTTGAATTCCTTCGAGCTCTTTGTAAAAAATGGTATGTTAAAACCTCACAAAAGTGTCATCAGGCACATTCATCACAGATATGTAAGCCTGCATGAGCTGCCCTGTTAAAGGCCCGGCTCTGAACAGTGCTGTGCGAGTGTGAGCGTGCTCCTTGTTGATCAGGCGTGACACTATCAGAGCAGAGCCAGTCACAAGCGCAGGGCCACCGGGGCTGTCACAGCGCCAACCGGGCTCCTTCCCGCCGTTACCATGGCGACTGTGGGAAGTGATTATGGAGAGAAGAGCCGGGAGCGCCGCAGTGGTGATCTCACTGCTTCATACCGCTGGATCAAAACACTTGTCGTTCGTGGCCACTAAATATGTTTCATTTAGAGGCACAGTCGAGAGAGAGAGAGAGGTTTGATTCTCCCATTCTAAATGTGTGTAGAGGTTAGTGCATCATTGGATATGACGGTACACCTTGAAATACTGCTTTGAGATGTGCTGGATTCCATTGTGGTCATGAATATTAATACATATTGATTAAGGATGTAACTATAACTGAAATATCGTGATATCGTATCGTCAAACGTCACACAATAGTATCGTAGACAGTCACAATATATCGAGTTACAAGTCTTGTTGCTTAAATGAATAGTTTTGGTGTGGCAGTAGTAGGGGTGTAACGATATCCAAGTCTCACGATACGATATTGTCACGGGATGAACATCACAGTACGATATTTATCGCGATATCTTGGGAAAGCTCACGATATGGTGGGGAGGCTCACGATTAGGGATGTAACAATATCCACATGTCTTGGTACGATGTTTTCACGATATACATCTCACGGTATTTATCTGACGATACAATACATATCATGATTCGCATGTCACAATTCAATATATCCTGATATATCCCGATACTAAATCAATGGATGATATATTGCGATTTATCAATAATTACTTCTAATAATAGAGCCAACTACACTTTCAAGAGAACACAATTGTATGAAATATAATGTTTTTGTTTTTTTAAATCATGAGAACAGTGAATCTAACTAATGAATTTTTGTGAAAAGTATTATTTAAAAAATCAATTCGGATGCATTTTCCATCGATTCGAGAATTGTGCTATGAAGTATCATGATATATCACTGAATCGATTTTTTTCTTACACCCCTATACGACGTTACACCTTGAAATACTGCTTTTGAGATGTGCCGGATTCCATTGTGGACTTGAATATTAATACATATTGATTAGGGATGTAACAATAACTGAAATATCGTCATATCGTATCGTCAAGCGTCACACAATAATATCGTGGACAGTCACAATATATCGAGTTCTTGTTGCTTAAATGAATAGTTTTGGTGTGGCAGTAGTAGGGGTGTAACGATATCCAAATCTCACGATACGAAATCGTCATGGTATGATATTTATTGCAATATCGTGGGAAAGCTCACAATATGGTGGGGAGGCTCACGATTAGGGATGTAACTATATCCACATGTCTTGGTACGATATTTTCACGATATACATCTCACGGTATTAATCACAATATTTTGTGGAAACTAACAAAACTGTAAATATTCAACTTTTTTCTCTTAAAATGCCTTGAAAAGACTTAATCCAAAGAATGAAGATTTAAAAGTGTTAGAGTTGTTATTTCTTCTTGTAGTCTGCACTGAAATGGAGCAATGGATCATGGTCTATGTAGTTCTCGATGTCTTTTTTTTTAGCTATTGCTGCACCATAACTCTTCATTAAAGCGAGTTCATTAAAGAGACGTGTAATTCGATATATTGTGATGAACCACGATATTATTGTGAGAACTTTGACGATACGATATCACGATATTTCGGTTATTGTTACATCCCAATAGCTAAAAAAAAAAAACAGAGGGAACTACATAGACCATGATCCTTTGCTGTTTCAGGACAGACTGCATGAAGAAATAAGAGTTACAAGAACTTTTATAGTTTAGTTCTTTAGATTAAGTTTTATCAAAAGTAGCATATTCACAGTTTTGTTAACCTCCACAAAATATCGTAATAAATATCGTATCATGAGATGTATATTGTGAAAATATCGTACAGAGAGATCTGGATATTGTTACATCCCGAATATTGATGGACACTGATCAATACTAAAACTAGAATCAAAGTTAGACATTTATATGAGTGTGCATACATTATTGAACGTCTTCTAGCAGGACCACATGATGAAATCAAAGAAACTATTACTTCTGTGCTCAAGGCAAGGCACATGTAGTTGTAGAGAACGATTCCTACACAAAGTAATACAGAGCTGCTTTAACGTTTATTTTGAGCCACAGAAGCCAGAGACCTGAGACCAGAACACTTGCGCTTGAACTTTCTGGTTCTTGTCAAGACCCAAGCCCCAGCGTTCTGGATGTTCTGCAGCTGTCCTACAGTTTGTTTGGAGAGGTTAGGTTTAAGGTTTAGAGGGTTACAGCTTGTTTGGAGAGGCCAGAGAGCAGGCACAATAACATCATTACTATGGAGAGACTAAAGGAGTCGGGACTGCTCTGTAAAAGACGATTACTTCAGTGTATTTTATGATGAATTTTTTGTTGTGGTTTTGGGCAGAAGACTAATTTTTTTTGTTCAAACTGATTTGTAACTATAAAACTTCCCTCAAGTTAACTATTTGTGGGTTTAGCTTCCCATAGGTGAAGACTGTTTTGACTACTGAGAAGAATATTTTGTGATGAATTGTTGTTGACATATTAGCCTGAATCATCAGCCGGTTTCACTTTGTGGAAACCTTTTGACCTCGCAGCATTAGTATTCTTTTTTATTTAACCAATCGCTGCTATTTGGGCGTGACGTATGTAATGCTCCCCTAACGGAGCTAACTGGTATATTAAGCTTTTCCCAAATCCCGTAGGAAGAAGGACAATAACGTCTTTCCCCTTGATAAAATTCACCAAACAATCTCTTTGTTCCGGCTTTAAATCCTTGATCTCGGGAATCGTTGCCAACACAGAATGTCTGTCTTTGTCTACATCCATCTCTTTGTTTACTGTTGTGCTGTACCACAAAAGGGACCCAGTCATGGCTTCACAGCTCTTTGCTGATTGGCCGGTGTGCGGTCTACAACTTGCAAACCGTGTAGTGTATTCCGATTCCTGACCTAGTTGCTGGAGAGAAATGAAACTGAGCGGAGCCAATAGGTGGTGCCAGCCCAGCTAATGATCTCTCACAAACCTAATAAACTGACATATTAACACCAGCTATAATCTCATCATGTGTTTGTGTAATGTGAATATGTGACTAACTTGTGTCTCTTGTGCTTTCAGGAACATAATGTGGTTCAATGGGCCGGGGACGAGCAGACCGTGAGCCTTCTCTAAGCCTGGCGTCCCTTCTGGACCTCCCCGAGGCGATCCTGGCCCGTTGGCACTAAAATGTCCCTCAGTGGTGGCACTGCAGGCGGGAAAGGTGTGGACTCGAATGCGGTGGACACTTACGACAGCGGGGATGAGTGGGACATCGGCGTGGGCAATCTGATCATCGACCTGGACGCCGATTTGGAAAAAGACAAACTGGAAATGTCCGGCACCAAGGACGGATTGACGGCACCCACCAACGCTGTGGCCTCTCTGCCTGAAAACATCCGCTTTGTAAGCCCAGTGTCTGGAGCTCAGGGCAAGGAGAGCAAAGCCAAGTACAAGCGCACTAAGAACTCGAAAGACAATAACAGTAAAGCATCCTCTGTAGATATGGGGAAGAAAGACACTACAGGGCGGACTCAAATGGAGCCCACCGCCCCAGCTGTGAACACAACAGCCACGGGCAACAACTCCACAGCTAAAGGCGTGGAGAAGGGGGGCAAGGCCTCCAGGGGGGTGGTGGGGGGTAAAAAGGAGAAGGAGGCCGCGGGGAAAGGTAAGAAGGACAAAAGCGATGGAACTCTGACTGAGAAGGAGCTCCAGTCTCAGGCCCAAGTGGTGCTGGGGAACAGTCGCGCCGCGGCCTTTGAGAACTCCCAGTCTACGGAGCTGGCGGACGCTAATCAAATGGGGAATATTGCACTTGAAAGCGTTGGGATAGTACCAGCACTGAAAACCGAGCCGGACGAGGTGGAGAACGGGGAGTGCAAGGCTCTCAAGAAGGTCAAAAGTGAAAAGGTAAGACGCGTTTGTTTTGGTAAACTTGTGACGTTGCTGTTGTGTCTGAGATCTGGAGTTTTGTGTTCAGTTTTTGGTCGTGTGCATACTGGCTTTTATATTCATTTAGTTCAGTCCAAAATCACTTGGAATCAAAGGTGTTCTGAAAGTAGAGATGAGTAAAAGTTGATTGATTTGTGTAAAATGTTCATGTCAACACAGATCTCGATTTTCTGGGAGGCTTTCAAACATCTTTGTAGACTTTTACAACTTATTTGCTGTCAAGATTGGCCATGGAATAAGACGAACTGGCAAAAAACTGAAATGGTTGAATATTTTGGGTGATATTTCAAACATAATGAAGTGGTATTTTTAGAGATAGTGTAGAAAATGTAACTGTTGGCCACTGTAAGATCAAACGATTTTTGCACAACCACAAGGCATCATTTTTTGCAACTGTCCAGCTGCGTGAACTGACGAAATTGAGTTTGACAAGTTCAAATCCGTACACTGGAGTTGACTCACAAGCGGGACTGTATGCAGAATCACTGAGATACCATTGTCCGTCGTGTTTGTTAATTGAGTCCTCATTTAATCCTGGTTTAGATTTGGTTTGTGTTGGCTCAAGTCCTGTACTGTTTGGGCTGGTATCATTAAGAAGTTGCCGATACGATACATACCTCGATACATAGGCCACGATACGATACATACCTCGATACATAGGCCACGATACGATACATACCTCGATACATAGGCCACGATACATAGATACATACGATACATACTCGATACATAGGCCACGATACGATACATACCTCGATACATAGACCACGATACGATACATACCTCGATACATAGGCCACGATACGATACATAACTCGATACAGTGAACTTTCGATTGCGATATATTTCAAATCGATTCTATACGGTTCAATAAAAAATAATGGCAAAATCATGACTGTGACACTAAAAGTCTTTGTTAAACCACTTCTCGTGCAAAGTTCATATGAAAAAAGCCAAGTTTAGTCCTAAAGTCAGTGAAAATGTCAAATGTGTCGCATAAAACGAGTTTCTTTCTACTAAACAAGCAACAAAACTGTAACGATGTGACAAAATAATTTCGTAAAATATACCAAAAAATACTCTTGGCGATGTGTCGATTCAGCATCCCACGATATCGATACTGTATCATCACATTAAATGATGCAATTTATCGATATTTTTATATTTTTGCACATCCCTATAGTCTTGTGTGAAGAATCCCTCAGTCGTCCAGGTAGAATCCACGGAGAGGAGAAAATTCAGTTTGTCGACTGGACAAAAGTTAGTTTGGTTGAAGACGTTTCGCAGCTCATCCAAGTTGCTTCTTCAGTTCTGGTCAGTGATGTCCGCCAGCATTCTGACCAGAACCCACCTGGTCACTCACCCCTATAGTCACATTTTTGGAGTTACAGTACCAGTTTCCATACCAGCACATATTTTTGTAGATTTCCTTTCCGAAATAAGACAAACCTCATCCAAATGTGTCGCTGTTATCTCTCAACTAACCGCAGAACAGCTCTGTGGATAAATAAATAAATAAACGTTCAAACTAGGGATGGGCATGATTAGTCAATTAATCGATAATTGATCATTAAGAATTTCATTGATTACGTTAATTTTAATCGACACACCGAATGTAGGTTGCTGTTCGTAGTGTAGAGTGACCAAACAGGTGTGTACATGTAGTTCGTACATGTGAAGGAGCGAGCAAACAGAAACAGTGGGTCAGTCTGCAACGTCCCGAAGCACAAATGTGTATTTAAACGATGATTTGTACAAGAAATTCCACGCTTTCCGTTGCGTTCGGGACAAGTGTGAGTCCATGTGCACAGTGTATAAAGCAGCACATATGTTTCGGTGTCCAGTGGGAAAAAGTTTTACCAGGTGAGAGTCGCGCAATGTCAATGACGAGTCCCCACCTCCCTCCCCCCGTACGGTGTCCTGGTTTTGATAAACGCAAATCTGGTCACACTAACCTGTATTCACCTGAGTCATGTCTTTTAATCCGACAGAAATTGACCACATCAGCGACACAAGAGCTGTAGTTTTATCTTCGCTTAGTTTATGCAAATTAGCGATGTGCGTTTTTTAAGTTTTGTTTCTGTGAGAGTTGCGCAAAACTGAATTAAACACATTATAATGTCAAATGGATTGATGTGGCTCTAGAGTGGTTACGGTTTATATGTCGTAAAGTTGAATTTATTTATGCAGATTAGTAGTGCAGATAGTAATAATAATGATGATCATTTTAATATAAAAACGTTAATGATTAATTGATAATCGATCGTTAATTCTTCCGACGATCGATTAAGAAAATTTCATCGAATGCCCATCCCTAGTTTGAACACTCTGAGACTTTCTGGGCCGACCAAGAACGTCAAACGAGGATATCTGCTGAAACGATATTTGGAAACCGATTTCTGATCCAGCACAGTTTTCAGTATCTGTTGAATCCCTTGTCCTGGTTTAGTTCTGCTTTGGTCTTGATTTAGTCCAGGGTCGGTCCTCTTGTGACTCTGACTGCACACTTGGTAGAGGGTGTACGCGAGCTCTCCGGTTCCTCGCTGTGTTCGGTGACATCGCACGAGAAGTAATTTGCTAACAGTGTGCGCTTTCATCGATTTAATTAATCACGCTATGAATGAACACAAAGCTCTTGGATCTACTGCAGAGCGCCAGTGTCCCGGAGCACTCTGACATGTGATGTGTTCAGACCCCCTCCTCCGGCTCGCTCTCTCTCCCTCCTTTTCTCTTTCTCTAAATCTCCCTCTCGCCATCTTTCCAATGTTTCTCTCTCTTTTCTTGTGCTAACTCCTCTCTCTCTTCTCTCGCTCTCTCTGACCTCTGTTTCTCTATCACTCTCTTTCCTCTCTTGCACTCTCTCTCTCCTCTCTTGTGCTCTCTGCCCTCCATTTTCTTTTTCTCTCCTTCCCTCCCCCGTCCCTCCCTCTCATTCCCTCTCTATCTTCTCTTGTGCTCTCTCTTTTCTCTTGAGCTCTTTCCCTCTCTCTGTCTCTTTCTCCCTCTCTCCTCTCCTGTGCTCTCTGCCCTCCATTTATTTCTCTTTCTCTCTCCTCCCTTCCTCTTTTCTCTTGATCTCTCTTCTTCTCTCTCCTCTCTTGCTCTCTCTCTCCTCTCTTGTGCCCTCTGCCCTCCATTTCTTTCTCTTTCTCTCTCCCCTCGCCCTCCCTCTCTCTCACTCTCCCTCTTTCTCTCTCCTCTTGCTCTCTCTATTCTCTCTTGTGCTCTGCCTTTCATTTCTATCTCTTTCTCTCCTCCTCTCTCTCTCCTTCCCTCACTCCTCTTGCTCTCTCTGCTCTCTCTCCTCTCTTGTGCTCTCTGCTCTCCATTTCTTTCTTTCTCTCTCCCCTTCTCTCTCTCTCCCCTCCCTCCTTTCCCCCCTTTTCTCTCTTCGTGTGGTCTCTCTCTCCTTTCGTGCTCTCTGCCCTCCATTTCTCTTATTTTCTCTCTCTCCCTCCTCCATCTCTCTCTCTCTCCTTCCTTCTTTCCCCCTCTCCCTACCCCCCCACTCTCTCCATCTCTCTCTTCTCTTGCTCTTTTTCCTCTCTTGTGCTCTTTGCCCTGCATTTCTTTCTCTTGTTCTCTCTCCCTCATCTCTCTCTCTCTCTCCCTCCCTCCTTCTCTCTCTCTCTCTCTCTCTCTGTTCATGATGGATGGGGGCCGGGGGTGGGGGGGCAGCCACAGGAAATGGCCCACACCACGACAGAGCCTGTTCCCATCTGTGCACCGCAGATTGTTTATGATAGCAGGCATCTATCTGCTTTCCCATAGTGCACTGCCGCACACCGAGCTCCGGCTGCACGAGTCGACTCTGCGATGAGGCGTCCTGCTTTGGCGAACTTTTGAAAGCATCGCTGCATTCTTTTAATTGATGAGAAGTGAGTTTGTTGGGAAAGCGCTCGTGTTGTGTAAATGGGTGGATACGTGTCGCAGAAATGATGGATTATTTCATCTTGTTTTGTATAATTCATCAGTTTCAGCATCAGTTTTTCTTGTGGAAATTCAGTTTGAAAAGCTCACAACAGGGAAATGCTTTTAGAAAATGGACACTGTGTTGAAAAAGTTGAATTTTGTGAACTGGGCAAGTGTTTAAGAGTGAATACATTTCAACACTCATCCAAGACGCTTCTTCAGTTGTGCCAAGTTACAGGAAAGTCACCGCCTTTTATCTGGAGATAGACCGATATATCAAGCCAATATTTCTACCTTTTCATGTATCAATTATAGACCTTAAATCTCCAGCTTAGGCCAATATTTTGTTTTGGCTAAGCTGCTGCCGAAGGAATACACATAAAACTTTATGTGGACACTTGAGTGTGAAGAGATAACTGCAGGAAACCTGACTACACGGTGAGTTTATGAAACAAAAGGGCTGTAAGTGAGTTTGTAGTAAATTAAAATTGCACAATTTGGGGAAAATAATCACAACCTGCTCTTGAATTTGGCTCAAAAACATCGATTGAGTTTATCAACCAGTCTATGGTTTATCAACCATTAAACAGTCTGTATCGGCATTAGGGATGGGCATGATTAGTCGACTAATCGATAACTGATCATTAAGAATTTCGTTGATTACGTTCATTTCTAATCGACAGACTGAATGTAGGTTTCTGTGTGTAGAGTTGAAGCCACGTCTGACAGAGCAAACACTGGAGTTGTGCCTCACAGTGCCACATTTGGGCTCTGGCTCCTTGGAGACACTGTACCACTCAGTGAGTGTGTTTACATGCACATCTGAAAATCAAGCATTAATTCTCCCGACGATCGATGAATAAAATTTCATTGATTCCCATCCTTAATCGGCATCGACTATGGAAAAAAAATGTCGATCTCTACTCATCTGTCTGAGGAGAGGAGCCAACTCCAGTGAAACTAACACACCCTCCTTGTTTACAGTACATTTTAGTTTGAACAGTTCTGACAGTAACTTGGCACAACTGAAGAATCCGTTCAGATGA